TGGCACAAGGGGCTGAGGAGGGCACGGCCTGATGGAAGTAATTGACCTGGACCCTCAATGCTCCCGGGATTTCACAAGGAACAAAGCCCTGGCTGTGGGACCTCTGGCTTTCTTCCCAGAGCTCGACATGGTCAATGGCTGGGGAACAGCGCCATCTCCTGGCTGCCTTCAGTCACAGCCCTCCTCCTGGTGGGAAAACAACACGACGTTCAGAGACTGTCTTAGGTGTGGGATGCCTTTAGAATCCTGGAACAAAGAGGATTTGGTTTTTGATTCAGTCATCTGGGATGGAGGCCAAGATTCTGCATTTCTAACAGGCTGCCCATGCCACTGGTTTAGGGACCTGATCAGAAAGCTTTATATCTCAATTATATCTCGATAAAACTAGAGGAAATTAAATGCTTTGAGGAGCTCAGATATGAATCACATCTGGTCCCAGACACCCCAGGTGTCTCAGGAAAGATACTTGTCCACATATAAAATCTGTGAGTCACAAGGCAAGATGAGTAGGGAAAGCTTCTTGGAGAGAAGGGATCCAAAGCATGTTTTGAAGGGTGGTCAGATAGATCTTCACCACAGGAAGCTTGCCTAAAGGGTCAGCTGGGAACAGCCTTCCTGCTGCTTTGGGTCTTCCAGCCCAGACACAGTGGTTCACAGCCATAATAACTGACTTGGGGCTGGCCCAAAGATTGCAAGCAAGGTGACTGATTAAATAATCATGGGAGGGCTTCCTTGATGGCTCAGTGGTAAAGAATCTGCCTTCCAAATGCAGGAGACTCAGGTTCGATCCCTGATCCAGAAAGATCCTACATGCCATGGAGCAACTAAGCCCATGCACCACAGCTACTGAGGCTGTGCTCTAGAGCCCGGGAATATCAATTACTGAAGCCCACTCACCCTAGAGCACGTGCCCCCTAACAAGAGAAGGCACTGTGATGAGAGACCCACATACCGCAACTAGAGAGTAGTCTGTGCACTGCAACTAGAGAAAAGCCCGCAGAGCAACAAAGTCCCAGCATGGCCAAAAAATTAAGTTTTTTTTAAAATAAAATACTAATGGCAGTAACGTTTCTGAGCAACAGTCACTTAATTGATTTGCTAAATACGATCAACGTCACCTCTTATAAAGATTTCTTCTAATGACCTTCCCAAATGCAGAATTTTCCAGAAAGAGATGAACGTCTAATGGTGATTGGATCACCCTTCAGTCACAGGCCCTTCTGCCTAGGTAGGACATGAAGTAGGAGAAATGACCCCATTGGCCCCATTTCACAGAAGAGGAAACTGAGGCTCAAGGAGGTCATGTGACTTTGCCTGAGCCCACCCAACAAGGCTAACCCTGAACCCCCTGACATGGCACTCAGGAGCACTCCTGTGACATCTGCCAAGGTTGACTCCATAAAAACAGGCCAAGAAGGCACAGAGCGGTGGGGGGGGGGATGCCAGGGTTGTCATGGGAATCTGGGAGTCTGGGGTCCAGGCCTTCCATGCCTGCACAGTCACCTCAGGCTGGGAACCCTGTCATCATCCAGGGAGGGTGAAAGCAGCTTTTACAAAGCAGGGTCTGAGGCCCTCTGACAGGCCCCCCTTTGTCGACTTCCTCTGTCCTCCCAACCCCGACGCCCCTGCCTCAAGCATCACCCTCTTTGAATGGCTGGCTCCAACACACTGGAAATTTGCAACACAAATGCACGGCTTGTATCTCAGTGGAGCCTCACTGCCCTAGCCTTTTGGAGCCTTTTAAAGTCAGAGCCTTTCTCCGGGGCGCTTTCTTTCCATAGCTTGAGCCCCCAGCCCTTACACACAGGCATGATCGCTAATTAACGCTGGGTGAAAACCGTCCTGGGAAGAGAGCCGGGAGGCGAGCGGGCTGTTCCCACCCCTCTCCGAGGCGGCCGGCAGCCAGAACTGGTGGAGGGGGCTGAGCTCTCCCTCTCAAAGCTCATGCTGGCTTCCTCCCTCCATCCTCTTCCTTGATGGGTTTGAAAATTTACAGCAAATTAAGCTCATCACCCAGGATGGCACCCAGATTTTCAGAGCTCAGCTCTATTCATAAGAACTGCAGTAATGGCTAACACTGACCAAAAGTACCAGACACTTTATAAGCATATTTCTGACACTCATAACAACCTGGAAAGGCAGAGGTTATCACACCCTTTGTACAGACTCGATAACTAAGGCTCAAAGTGATTAAACACCTAGACCTGGATCACACAGCCTAAAAGTGGCAGAACTGATTTTCAAATCCAAATCCATTTGTGCCCCAAACGCCTGCTCCCATTTTAGGCTTCTCTCTGTTCCTGTCTGATGCTCTTCCAGCTTTACTGTGACTTCTCCCTTATCTTGATTCTTGGAACATCTAGTGGTGTGTCCATCTCTAGGTCTACTTGTCTGAGGTGATGGTGGCACAACTGAATAAACTTATGAAAACATTGAACTGTAGACTTCAAACAAGTGACTTGTGTGGTACATGAATTGTACTTCAATAAAGCAGTTAAAGCTCTTTTAAAAAATGGGGAGTAGGAGAATAAGAATCGGTGGACTATGGGGACTTCCCTGATGGTCCAGCGGCTAAGACTCCACATTCCCAATGCAGGCGGCCCGGATTCGATCCCTGGTCAGGGAACTAGATCCCACACGCCACAACTAAGACCCAGTGCAGCCGAATAAATAAATCAGTCAGTTCAGTCACTCAGTCGTGTCTGACTCTTTGTGACCCCATGGACTGTAGCACACCAGGCTTCCCTGTCCATCACCAACTCCTGGAGCTTGCTCAAATTCATGTTTATCAAGTCGGTGATGCCATCCAACCATCTTATCCTCTACCATCCCCTTCTCCTCCTAGTTTCAATCTTTCCCAGCATCAGGGTCTTTTCCAATGAGTCATTTCTTCACATCAGGTGGCCAAAGTATTAGAGTTTCAGCATCAGTCCTTCCAATAAATATTCAGGACTGATTTCCTTTAGGATTGACTGGTTTGATCTCCTTGCAGTCCAAGGGTCTCTCAATAGATAACGTAAATAAAAGATCTCTTAAATAAAGAATTGGTGGACTATGGAATATTAGCTTGTCATGGATTGATGAATTTGCAAGTCAGAGATATTTGAGACCTGGCTCTGCCACTGCCCCGCTGTGTGACTGCTGGAAAGTGGGCACCATCTCTGTGCCTGGTTTCCTCTTTATAACAGCAATAATAATAGTAGTGGTAAGAGCTCATTGATGAGGCTTATTTTATTCCAGGTCTGTATCTCATCCACTGTCACATGTACTCCTCACACCACAGCCTCACGAGTTGAGCCCCATCACTCCCATTTACAGATTAGGAAACTGAGATCAGGCACAAAGTCTTTAGCACAACCCCTGTCACAAAGCTTCTGCTGAGGTTGAATTCGATCCTCATGGATTCTTCAGCTGACTGTGTGTCCTATATCTGCACGCTGGTCTGGTGTCCATTCAGGGTGCCCAGCTCTCCATGGTACCCACTTCATGTTTTCAGACTGTGTGAGCTCCCATTAATCCAGGGGCTCCCAACTCCTCCATCTGCCACCTGCTGCTGTGACCCATCAGTCCATCCTTAATCCCTGGCGATCTGGCCTGACCTGACTGCTTCGTGTCCAGGCCTGCAGGGAGACCTGTCACTCAGTCCCTGCTTCTCTGGGGAACATCCCAAGCTTGCTTTGTGCCAAGAAGTTGGTTCAGTGCAAGCCAAGAAGCAGGATCACAAAGTATCACTGCTAAGAGGTTCCTTCAGAAACTACTGGCTCTGGCACTTCCCTGGTGGTCCAGTGGTTAAGAATCACCTTGCAATGCAGTGGACGAGGGTTCGATCCCTGGTCAGGGTACTAGGATCCCATATGCCACTGAGCATCTAACCCTGAATGCCACAACTAGAGAGTCTGTGTGCTGCAACGAAAGATCCCTCATGACACAACTAAGACCAGATGTAGCCAATTAACTAATTAAGAAAGAAATGACCGATTCTAACTGTGAACTGTGAAAGTGTGTCCTAAAAGGCAGTCTCCACTCCCTGCTCTTCAACCAGATCAGCCCTGTTTGAAAAAGTTTGATTAAGATATGGCACTTTCCTAGATTTCCAAAGAAAGATCTAGGTTTCAAATTCTTTTAAGAGTTTGAAAACTACTGTCCTTTGCTGTTTCACTGTGGATGGGAGTAGGAAATTGATGGTATAGAACCTGAGGCCTGGAGAATTACCAGTAACTTGCAGAGGGTCACTGAGGTAGTGATGGACCGACACAGGAGGGCAGCAGGTGTCTGGACACTTAGCTCAGAGCCATTTCCACTGCTCGACAACAGCCATGTGGGAAAGCATCGCTTCTGCCTCCCACGCTTTCATGCCATTCTTGAGGATTCTTTAGCTTTAGGCTAGAGAAATCCGGAAGTACAATTCTCCCAAGTCTTCTCATTTCTTGCCTCTCACTCCACACCCCTCGGAGGCAGCTATCGACTTTGGCGGCCTCAACACAAGACGTCGATGCTCCCCAGGCCAGCTGCCTACACCGGCCTGTGACCACAAGAGGTTAAGTCAAATAGAGGAACATTTTGATAATTGGACGACAAGGGAAATGGCAAACGACTCTCCTCACTAAGGGGAGAAAAAAACACTTTCTTCCGTAAAGTTGACTATCCTCAAGTGAAATAAAGTTGCACCCGGACAAAACAAGATAATGTGAACTTTTTAAAAGGCTCATTTAATCTCAGAGAGTAAATGAACCCTTGGCTGTTTCACTGTTAGGAGTACTCCAATCATTAGGTGAGCCGTATTCGACACTTCCTCTGGGAATAATGTTATAACTTCTCGCTCTGTCCTTTCTCTCCAAGATAAAGTTTGATACGAATCTTCGTTTGCAAGGGGCAAAACCTCTCTCCCCTATTAGGGTTTGTCAATGTGATGCTAAAAATGATCCTTTGGCGGACTTGTGAGTAATTGATCCTCTGACGCTAACAACGCCCAGGAAAATGAAGGTATAATTGGAGGGAGCGCCACGCAGCCGCTGGAGCAGACGCTGAGGCCCGTGGAGCTGGAACAACCTCTCAGTGCAGAGGAAGACCTCGCCAGCTCGGAGGTGAGCGGGCGGGAGGTGGGGGCGGCCCTGGGGGCTGGACGGGATGGGGGTGAGAGCACTGAGCTTCTCACCAACTCAGGGACCCCACGTCCAAAAGGCACTGCCATCCTCTCTGCCCCTGGACTGGTGAGTACATTTGAGGCCCCTTGTTAGGGGCTCGGGAATACGCTTTGGACGGTAGGTACCGTTTTGAGGTTGTCTTGAATGCGTGAACCTCAGTCCACGGGGTACGGGCAGCAGACAGGTGCCAGGTGGTCTGTCAGGGGCAGATGAGGTCTCCGTGCTTTTTCAAGGGTGTGCCAGGTGGGCTGCCAGGACAAATGCATCACCTGGCAAGATTCTCCTGTCAAGCACGGGATTCTGCCGTGGACTACGGCTTCCCTGGTGGTTCAGATGATAAAGAATCTGCCTGCAATGTGGGAGACCCAGGTTTGATCCCTGGATCAGGAAGATCTCCTGGAGAAGGGAATGGCTACCCACTACAGTATTCTCACTTGAAAAACCCCATGGACAGAGGAGCCTGGAAGGCTACAGTCCATGGGGTTGTACAGAGTTGGACATGACTGAGCGACTGACACTTTTCTTTCTTCAGAAAGGAAGCAAGTGGCTGTGCAAATCAGTACCTCGCACCGATCACTCAGAACCGATTCAATGTAATTGCCTGGAAATTGATAACATTTTGCTTCCTTGCTCAATTGTAGCTGCGCTCCTTACTTTAGGTTTTGGACATGATTATCCGCCCTTGGAGTACCCTATTACCCCCACACTTGTCTCTCAACCCAGACTTCAGTGATCCTAAAGTATTTGTATCTTTTATCACAAGCCGCCTCGAACCCTCTCTGGAAGAAGGTGAGGTATCGTTCTTTTGAATGAGCATTCAAGATGCTTCTTCATGAATAACTTTGATCTCCTTTGACTTGGAACACTAGTGGCGAAACAGTTTATAAAGTGAATCAGGACATCAGTGCTTTAGGGTTCTTAAATTACATAGCAGAAGATTTAGGAGAGGTAAAAGATTGTTTGTTTGGTTTTTTTTTTTTTTCAGAAGTTCAAAAGTGGCCTTGCTGGTTTGGTACTTGAGACCTTAGCTCTGTTGTTAACTGAAGGTTTGTCTGCAGAATTCTTGTAGCATTCCTGGCGTGAAGTCTGGCAAAATGTGCCAACTAATGTAGATTAAGTACCCATTTATCCTGAGTCCAGACGACCTCAAGTATATCTAATCACGGAGTTGGTTTGTAAGCACAGCGGAGAGCTAACTGATACACATAATGACAGCTGATAAATCCTAAAATGCCTTCAGAGCCATCCAGGAGGTGTTGATGGTGTTCTTGGACTCATGCTTGATTTAATTCAGTGAATTCTACTTTCTTAGACTGGCCCTGTGGAAGCTGTCTGCCATAACCACTTTTTTATTCCTAGCGGCACAATCTCCATCCTCATCATACCAGAAACTAGATGATTCTTGTTGTTTTCCCTCTTTGTCCAGTGGGATTTTGTAACCCCATGGATTAGCTTCTCACAGGTCAGAGGTTACAATGGTGTTTTGACCCATCCCTGGGATATGTGGTTTTTGGCAAACGTTGTACCGCTTGGTTGACCAGATTATGAGGTTGCCCAGCCTCACTCTGAATGACCTGGGGTTACTGGATTCACTGTGACTTGACTCCCAAAGTCTGCCAATATCAGGTTATTTTCAGCTCCCTAAAACCACTGATGTGTACGGGGACATGCCAAACAAGCTGGTGTTCCTGTTTGTCCCCCTTGTTTCCTCCCCAGAGACTCAGTAACAAAGAACAAAAGCTTTCGCTCTTCTCAGAACTCTCTTCCATGTGCAGGGGATGAATTCTGGAGCGCCCCCATGAATAGGGAGTCCTGTGAATAGGGGATTGTATCTGAGAGGCCACCGTGCAGAGCGGGAGGCCCATTCTGAAGTGCCCACTCTGCAACGAATTTGATGGAGGACCGTGGAAAAAAGGCCCTTCTCCTCTCTGGGCTCATTTCGTTGGCTGTCTAAGACTAGAACTCGAGATACCTGCTCCCAAAGGCGAGTGTGAGGGTGGGCTGTGAGGGCCAGGGGTCCCAGGGGCTGGGAATCCCTTGTGCCAGCCCTGGGAGAAGGGCCCAGGGCCGGGGAGGCTGGGATGGCGCTTATGCCTAAAACAGGGGTTTGGGCTTTGCCCTCAAGGGAGTGGAATGCCAAGGGCTTCTGAGGGGTGATTGCGAGCCTGGATGTGCTCAGGTCCTTGAAAGAGCAGTTGGAAAGAAGGCAAGAAAGCCCAGGCTGCAGCTGGGAGGCAGAAAAAGTAGTGGTCATGTCAAGGAGACCCCTTTGCCCCAAAAGATCTCCCTGTTTAGAAGACTTCAAGAGAGGACCAAGTTCGGAAAGGAAAGATGGGTGTGATAATGTGTGATGAGGACAGAAGGCTAAAGATCCTTGATGCGGGGAGCCAAGGTCTAAATCACGCAAAACGCATCTAAAGGGCTCATCATGTGGTTAAAGGTACAGAAGGTCTTGGAGGCACAGCCGGTGGATGTTAAAGGCGAGGCCACGGTCTCACCTTTTCTCTAGCCCCGATCCTTGCCAGAGTGATAAAAGCTTAACAGGTATTTGCAGGATAAGGGGACTAGGACTTGACACAATGGGAAAAGCCTCCGAACATGAAAAAGCTGCCTGGAAGTAGGACACACTGACTTGGAGGTAGTGAGCTCCCTGCCACTCAGTGTTTGGGCTGAAACTGGGCCACAGGCTGTTGGGGGGGTGGGGCACATCAAAGAGGGGGTTGATGACTGGGGTCTAGATGGCCACTTCCTCCAGCTCTGGGGGTGCAAGGGTCTCAGGCAGCTTTGAACAGTCCCCAGGGGTACTTCCTGGGCTCTCAAGGCCTCCCGGGTTTAGTCCAGACCCAGTGTCTGGGAGAAGGAAGGTGATACCCCGAGAGGAGAAGTGAGCCTAGAGATGGAGGTGGATTCCTCCCGGGCTGGCCCCACCTGCCAGAAATCCCTTCTGAGCAGGACCTACCGGAAATGGAGCTGTTCAGGGAGAAGGTGGGCCATGAGGTGTCTCTTGCCCTTTCCGGGGCTGGCCGAGCCTCTGGAGGGGTCCGTATGCCCCTAGGGGGGACATCCTGCTGAGAGGGGGGTGCTCCTGGGAGATGGGAAGTCCCGACCCTGAAGTGACCGCGTCTCCCTGAGACCAGCTGTTTCCGCCCCGCGGTCCGGGTTGATAGAGAGCACAGCCCTAGCAGAGGCGGCTCTGTCCCCTGTAGACTCGTCTTCCTAATTGCCCAGCACGGTGTCAGCAGGCTCCCATTAAGGATAATTATGTGATCTATGAGATGATTCTGCCTCCAGGCTCCCCAGGTCCCTGGTCTCTTCCAGGGCTAAAACTCTTAGGCAAAATCTAAACATCTGGGGAAAGAGGCACAGCCATCCTCCCTTCCCTCCAACTCTACACAAAACCAAGACAGCCTGCCCCCTGAGCAGGTCCTTAGAGCAGAAGTGCGTGAAGGATCCCCCGTGTGCCAACCACTCACGTCTGGTGCCTCATCTCAGCTCATACTCACACGACCCTTTGCAGTAGGCCCAGTTATTGAGTCCATTTTATGGATAGAGAAACTGAGGTCTGGAAAGGAGAAGCCCCTAGTCCTGGGGTGCACACCCTAGTCCTGGGGTGCACACCAGCCCCTAGTCCTGGTGATGACTGAGCCTGGATGTGAACTCGGATTTTTCTGACTCAGAGCCTGAGCTGTTAGCCCCACTCAACACTGTCAGTGCCACACTGGGGCAGAGGGAGACTCAGGCAAATATGAGAAGCTGTTTGCTCCTCCCCAACTCCAGTCTTCTTGCATGAAGAATCCCCACGGACAGAGGAGCCTGGTGGGCTACAACACATAGGGTCGCAAAGCGTCCGACATGACTGAAGCGATTTAGCACACATTATTATATTATTCCTTGCTGAGGCCTGAGTCCCGCGTAGAATGCCCTACAGGAAGTGGTAGTTTCACCATTGTCTTTCATTGTATGTTCAACCCTGTGAGGTCAGCGGCGTAGGCTTATCATGCGCATTTTACAGATGGAGAAAACGAGGCCAGAGTTCGTGTCTGGCAGAGAAAGAACTTGAACCCAGGTGCGTCAGACTTCGAGTCTGCTCCATCTTCCCTACCCCACAGCTTCCAAAAGACAAGAAGCATAGCTTGCACGGAGCCAGGCCGAGGGCCGGAGCTAGCAGAGGGCACCTAGTGTCTATGGGTATGCCTGACTTTTCTTCCTGTCTGTCATTTCCCAGGTGCCAGCACAGGGGTGAAGGATGCTGCTCTGGGTGATCTTCCTCGTGACTCTCACCCTCAGCAGCGGCTCCCATGGTTCCCTGCCCTCTCAGCCTCTCAGGTAAGCAGTCCTGACAAGAGAAGCAAGAGAGGCGCTTTAAGGATGCAGAATCCAGCTGGTCCCCAGCTGGCTCCTCAGGCAGCCTCCGCTGCTCATCTCTGGGAGGGAGGTAGACTGAGCCCCAGAGAGGTCACCACCCAGCCCTGGTTCCAGCCCTCTCTGAGGATGAGCAGGGCAAGTGTGACAGAAGGACCTCACAGAGACCCAGTGAGCACAGTTCCCTGGGCCTCCTGCCCCACCCTTTGACCTCTGACTCCTTCTACTAGGATCCCACGGTACGCAGATGCCATCTTCACTAACAGCTACCGGAAGGTTCTGGGCCAGCTGTCTGCCCGCAAGCTACTCCAGGATATCATGAACAGGCAGCAGGGGTGAGCCAGCGTTCTCGTGACTTCTCCCTGCACCCCCAATGCATCATGATTTGGAGGGACCAAGTCTGGTCTCTTCGCTTGCACAGCATCTGTCACTTCTGGACTTGGCAGGGCAGAAGGGCTCCAGTGTCGAACCTTGTCTTACCCTTAACTAATAAATGATCATTGAGCATAGGTGCTTGTCTCTGAGTTGGGATCCAGTAATAACACTGACAGCAGTCACCACTTGACTGACTCTACCAGAAAAAGACTTTGCACTGGTTCATTAATACATACCTGACACAGTGCAGAGTAAGCCCTTGGTAGTGTCAGCCATTATTCTCAGGTTGTTATGTGCTCTTTCCAACAACTTTACAAAGGATGTCCTCTTACCCCTGTCATACAGAAGTTACATTAATAGCTTCTAAAGGACACACACCAATGAGTGGCAGAATTAGCATCCAATCAGCCTGACTCCACTGCCTGAACTTGTTTTAGTTTTCATTTTGAAAAAATTCCAAACTTACAGAGAAGTTGCCGAAATAGTACAAAAGGCTTTTACATGCCTTGCCCTAAGAGTCAATAATTCCTAATATTTTTTGCTATATTTGCTTACTCTATATCTGGGGCTTCCCTGATGACTCAGCGGTAAAGAATCTGCCTGTAATGCAGAAGACGAAGGTTCGATCCCTGGGTCAGGAAGATTCCCTGGAGGAGGAAATGGCAACCCACTCCATTATTCTTGCCTGGAAAATCCCATGGACAGAGGAACCTGGTAGGCTACAGCCCATGGAGTCGCAAAGTCAGACAAGGCTGAGCATGTATACACACACACACACACACACATACACACTCTCTCTCTCTCTCTCTATCTATGCCTAGATACAGATCTAGACATACATACACAAACTCAGGTATGATTATGAGTATTATTGTTTTGGTGAACCATTTGAGAGTGAATTATAGTCATCATGACCCTTTATCCTTAAGTACCTTTGTGTGTCTCCTAATAGCTAATCAAAGGATACTCTCTTCTATAATCACAGTATAATTATCACTTAGAGTCTATATTTAAATTTCACTAGCTGTCCCAAAATGTCCTTTATAAAAATTTTTAAATAATTTTGGCTGCATCAGGTCTTAGCTGTAGCACGCAGGATCTTTCATTGTGCCGCACGGACTCTGGTTGTGGCACACGGACTTAGTAACTATGGGGCTCGGGCTTAGTTGCTCTGCGGCATGTAGGATCCTAGTTCCCCCATCAGGGATTGAACTCATGTTGCCTACATTGCAAGGTGGATTCTTAACCACTGGACCACCAGGGAAGTCCCTGTAACAATTACTGATCTTCCTCATCCAGGACTCAATCCAGCCACAGGTGGCATTTAGTTGTCATGTCTCTTTAGTTTCTTTTAGTCTGGATCAGTTCCTCAGTCTTTATGACACAGACATTTTTTATTAGTAAAGGACAGTTCTTCATAGAACGTCCCTCATATTGGGCTTGCCAGGTGCTTCCTCATGCGTAGATTCACATCATGCAACAGAGGTAATGTTGTGTCCTGCTCAGCGCATCCTGTCGGGAGGAGCACGTTGTCCATTTGTCCCATTGGTGATGGTAACTTTGATCACCTGTGTAACATGACGCCTACCAGGTTTCTCCTCTGTTAACATCTTCTCCTTTGTACTTAATAAGTCATCTGTGGGAAGATATTTTGCAAATGTGTGCTTCACAACCTACAGTCTTCACTCCTATACACACTGTCTTCTTAAACGTTGCCGAGTCTAAGTCAGCTGGGTGCAAGAGTCTATGCCAGATATCCCAATAGGCTGAGGGATACAATCACGCTCTGCGCCCTTTGCCCTGACCTTTCCCAGGCTTCCTCCACTTCCTACTCAAACAACAACCTCTGTTGTTTCTCTTTGTCTAATCAAACAGAGAGAGAAACCAGGAGCAAGGAGCAAAGGGCCGGCTTGGCCGTCAGGTGGACGGCGTGTGGACAGACCAACAGCAGATGGCATTGGAGAGCGTCTTGGTGAGCCTGCTGCAGGAGCGCAGGTGGGAATATGTGTGTGTACACAAGTGTGAAGGTCTGCACATGTGTGTACTGAGGGACCTCAGAGGCTTCTGTCCCCAAGGGTAGCCAGGAAAAGGACTCTCCTCCTCTCCAAGCAAACTGGGAATGAGGTCCCTTCTTCCCTACATCAAGAACCAGAAGAAGGGGGGACATGTGTGATGGAGACTAGCCGTCATCCACTCCTGTATCTCCAAAGTGTAGCCAGAGGCCAGCCTCAGTGTCTGTGTCCAGAAATGTCCCTCACTCAAGAGTCCTAGAGTGGGACCTGGAATCTGAATTTGAATGAGAGTCCCAGGGGACTCTGATGCTCCTGATCTGAAATGCATGCCCTGGATCCCCTGCCAAGTTCATCAAACTGTAAATCAAAGGGAGGCCAGCCCCTCCCAACACCCTTGGGTGGAGGACTGTGAGCAGCACTTGTGAGAAGGAGAGATGGGAATGACAGTTCCCTGACCCTCACAATCCCAGTAGGAGTCAGGGAAGATCAGGAATGAGTTTTCCCATTTTTCAGAGGAGGAAAACTGAGACAAAGAAGAGGCAGTAGCTAGCCCCAAGTTAGGGACTAGGCAGGCCCTAGACCTGCCTTTCTTCCCCAGAGCCCTTCACACAGACTCCCTTTCCTCAAAATGACATGACTATTTGCAGAAACTGTGCTGTATTTTAGAGCCCGATTTTTGAACTGTGAGCACAAACGTGCCCCAGCGTGACTCTGCCAGACACCTCCAGCCCAAACTATTAAGAAAATCCAGTTCCCAGCAGAGCTCTCCATGTGCCCCCTCGCATTCTTCCCAGCCTGATTAGACACCGAGAGCTCAGAGATCTGGCCAAGTATTGTCCTGGGGAGATGCAAGCGGCAGCAGGCTGACAGGCAGAGCACAGCAGAGGTGAGAACCAACCCCAGAGGCCGGATGGACACCTGAGCCCCAGGTCTGCTTGTGCAGCCAAGTCTCCCCACAACAAGTCATCTCTGTTCCCTCCTCTGAGAAGGGAGCAGATTTGCTCCAATGACTACCAAGGTCCCGGAGGATAGAATTCTTTTTTAAAATAAATGTCCCTAAGAATAATGCCTCCCCCCCACCACACCGTCCGGCCCAGTGCCTCTCACACTGGGATTAGGTCACTATTCACCTGCTTCAGGGCTCCCACCAGGCCCCAGTGGAGGGCCATGTCCTAAGAATGCAGGCTTTGTTCCTGCAGGTTAAAAGCCAGAGGCTTCACAGAGCTGAAAGTCCTAGAGCAGCAGGAAGGCCCCAGAGGTTGCTCCCGCCATTGTTCCCCCTCCAGCGCAACTGTTGCAAATACCAGGACATGAGGGGGTGGGAGGGATGCTGAGAAAACAGAACTGCTAAATTAATTCTTACATTAATACCTTAAGAGTGCAGAGTAGAATGATTTGGCAGTTAGTATCCTTTCACGAACCCACCACGCTTTATGTCCACATAAAAGTCCCCTGAGTTAACAAGTTCAGATTTCTCCATCTTCCCAGCTCTTAAAAGTCATCTAGGGACTTCCTTGGTGGTCCAGTGGTTAAGACTTCGCCTTCCAAAGCAAGGGGCATGGGTTCAATGCCTGGTCGGGGAAATAAGATTCCATATGCCTTGTGGCCAGAAAATGAAAACATAAAGCAGCAGCAATATTGTAACAAATTCAGTAAAGACTTATAAAATGGTCCATATAAAAAAAATCCTAAAAAACAAAAAATCATCCAAAGATGGCCAGGTTCTGGGCTGAGGGGACAGCCGTGGATGGACCAGTCTTGGTCTCTACTCTCAAGGAATTCATAACACACTGAAGCAGACAGAAATTAAACAAGTACTTTTACAGTGGATTATTTAATTTGTGATAAATGGTAAGGGATGTGGTGAATGTGTGTGCTAGAAAGAATGACCTCATCTAACCCTGTTTGGGAGTTAGAAGTGGCTTCTTCAACGGCCAGTGACTTCCCAGGCTCTCAGTGGGAGTGGGTTGGGAGAGCTGGGGCTGATTGAGGTCATCTTGGGAGTCGGTCAGTCTCAACACTGGAGTCACTGTCACCCTAATTCCAAGTATCCTGTCCCACCTTGCCTTGATTTCAGTGCCCGCCAGACTTAGCTTTATCTTTCTTTCTGCCATAGGAATTCCCAAGGATGAAGATTCTGCCTCTATTTTCTGCTCCCTGCAGCTGAGACACAACTGCATCCAGTTAATCCTTTTTAATTTCTCACCTACTTTTTCCTTTATAAATACAATAAAATTCCCCCAGACTGGTCTGCATTTCAATTTTCTTTTATCTTCAGCCTAATTTTTCATGTTTTACAGAGCTCCATTTCCCAAAATGGTATTACAAGATATTGAAAAAAAAAAAAAAGCTAACATTTACCAAACACTCAGAGTGCCAGCCAGGCAGCTTCATGTGTAGAACCTCATAGACTCCCTACACAGCCTAACGGGAGGTACTCATTTCCCAGATGAGGAACTGAGGCACAGAGGGTGAAGTGAATTGCCAGTCACTGGCAATAAGAAGAGAGCTGGGATTCATCTGTAAGGGACCCAGCCCAGAACTGGGCTCCTAGCCATATTTGTCTGCTCTGGGTCCAAGTCATCCTTCATCCACTGGTGACTCACGCAGCCATGAGCAATGCCATTTATTCACTCAACAAACGTTTCTAGAGATCCCACTGTGTGCCAAGTGCTGTGCTAGGCAAAGCCCCTGACATCATAGAGCTTATGCTCTTTCTTTCTTTTTGGCTGTGCTGGGTCTTCACTGCTGCATGGTCTTTCTCTAGTTGCTGAGAGCGGGGGCCACTTTAGTTTCGGCGTGTGGGCTCTCATCACAGCGGCTTCTCCTGTTACAGAGCTCAGGCTCTAGGGGGCACAGGCTTGTGTAGCTGTGGCCACACGAGCTTAGTTGCTCCGAGGCATGTGATATCTTCCCCAACCGGAGATCAAACCTGAGTCCCCTGCATTGCCAGGCGGATTCTTAACCACTGGACCACTAGGGAAGTCTAGCATAGAGCTTATATTCTAATGGAGGAAAGAATAATAAAAACAAGTAAATATAGAATTTGTAAGATGGTGGTGACTGCAAATAGCAAAAAATTAAGGCAATGGGAGTACTGCAGGGGATAATTTATCCATAATGAACGAGTATGTGGTGGGGGGGTTAGGGAAGGCCTCACTGATGAGGGACATTTGAGTAAAGTCCCTCAAGAGTCAGCCTTGTGGAGAATGACTGGGTGAGGAACATTCCCAAAACAGTGAAAACCCAACACAAGGGCCCCTAAACAAGAGTGTAGAGGCAGGAGGCGCAGAAGGCCAGTGTGGCTAGCCAGGGCACAGCGAGGCCGTGAGTGGAGGAAGGGAGGCCAAGAAGGAGCAGGAGGCCAGCTCATGGGGAGGCCATGGGAAGAACTGAAAGGATCTCACTCTCGGCGAGATGGGAGCCACTGCGGAGTTTAAGCAGAAGAATGACATGATCTGACTTGCATTTACTGCCACTGTGAGAAAGGGTCAAATGCTGGATACATGCTTAGGGTAGAACTCATTTGCTAATGGATAAGGTATGGGAACTGGAGAGGAATTAAGAATAATTGCAAAGTTTGGGGCCTGAGCAGCTGGAAGGATGGAACTGCCATTTAGGAGCACTGGAGATGGGGGGAGAATTAGAAGTTGGGGTTTAGACATGTCGAGTCTGAGATGCCCTTTAAAGGCCCCATATAGGGGGGCTGAGTAGGCACCTGGGTGTGCAGGTCTGGAGCCAGGAGAGAGGTCTGGATAGCTGTCACCTTTTAGATGGTCTATAACGTCAGGAGATTAGAAAAAAATTTTTTTAAATTTTTTAACAAGGACCTACTATACAGCATATAGGACTCTTCAAAATTGTGGCAGCCTGGATGGATGGGGAGTTTAGGGCAGAATGGATACATGTACATGTATGGCTGAGCCCCTTTGCGGTTCACCTGAAACTATCATAACACTGTTAATTGACTACAATTCAATATAAAATTAAAAGTTTAAAAAAAAAAGGAAAATAATATGAAAAATTGTATATATGTATAACTGAATCACTTTGCTGTATAGCAGAAATTAACACAACATTGTAAATCAACTACACTTCAATACAATTGAAGTGTTTAAAAATTTTTTAATTTAACTTTTAAAAATTAATTTTTTAATTAAAAAAATAAAAATAACTTTTTTTTTAAAAAGAGAGTTCCCTGTAAGTCCAATGGTTAGGGCTCAGTGCTTTCACTGCTGGGGCCCCAGGTTCAATCCCTAGTTGGGGAACTAAGATCTCATAAGCTGTGTGGTGCAGCCTAAAAAAAAATAAAAAAATAAAGTCAGAAGAGTGAGTTAGATCACCAAGAAAGAAGAACAGAATAGCAGAACTGCAAGGACTACCCCAGGGCACTCCATATTTAAAGGTTGGAGGAAAGATGAGGAGCAAAGGAGACTGAGAAGGAAAAAGTAAAAAAACTGCAAGAGAGAAATTCCAGAAAGCAGTTCAAGAAGAGAGTGATGGACTGTACCAAATGCTGCTGATGGGTCATCAGTTGAGAACTGAACATAAAATGATCATGAAAGCCAATGATGACCTTGGCAAGAACAAACTGGGTGCATGGTGGAGGCAAAACTCTGACTCTAGTGGGTTCAAGAGAAAATAGTAGGAGAGGGATCAGATCCAGACCATAGAGACCTGGCTGTACCGTATGATGACCACTGAACACATGTGGCTGCTGAACACAAAATGTGGCTAATATCAACTGAGATGTGCTTTACGTGGATTCCAAAGACAGTATGAAAAAGAATACCAAATGTCTCAGTCATGTTTTTATATTGATTACCTATTAAAATAACATATCTGATAAGTTGGATTAAAATAAAATATATTAAACTTGATTTCACCTATTTCATTCTTACCTTTTTATTGTGGTTACTAGACAATTTCAAATCACCTATGGGTCTTGGAAGCCTGGTGTGCTGCATGCAGTCAGTCCATGGGGTCGCAGAGAGTGGAACACGATTTAACAACTTAACAATAGCAAATGGGACTTGCATTATATTTCTATTGGATGGCACTGACAGAGTCAGTTCTTTCGAGAAATTTTGTTATTAATATAAAGAGAAGCAGAGAGCTGAAGTCACTGTCCAGAGTTACCTTTGTCAGTGATTACCCAACTTTTTCTTTTCATGAAATATTTTACCTGGGTATATCCCCACACATCGCCTCTCCGAAGAATTGGTGAAATTGGGACTTCCTGGAGGTCCAGTGGCTAAGACCCCATGCTTCCAATGCAGGGGGCCCAGGTCTGATCCCTGATCAGGGAACTAGATCCTGGCATGCCGCAAATAAGAGTTCACATGCCACAGTGCAACTAAAGACCCCACATCCCGCAACTAAGACTCAGCGTTACTAAATAACTACATTTTTTTTTTTAAAGAATCTGTGCTTTCATTGCAGGGGCCACAGATTCCATCTCTGGTTGGGGAACTAGGATCCTGTATGCCCCGAGGCAAGCATGGCCAAAAAAATAAATAAATAAAAATAAAATTTAAAAATAATAATAATAAAAAATTTTTAAGTGAAGTCTAGGTGATGGGATGTGTTTGGATTAAAAGCATGAAAATATTCACAGCATTTTAGAGTTGATGGGGACTCAGAGGTGAGCAATCTCTTCTCTGTCCTTTTCTGGCTTGAGACACGCAGTGCTGGAGCCGTGGGTCCATCTCCCACACTGGGACCATAAAGCCAGCTTGGGGTTTCACAGCGTTCAGACCACCTGCTCTCCCCAGTTTACCCTCCAAGAAAGAATGTGAAGCGTGGGAACGGCTCCGCAGGGAGCCCGGGTGGCTCCGCGGAGCAGACAATGCCCACAATGGGGAACAAAAGACCCCTCGGGCGGAGAAGGCTGGCCTCTGAGGGCCGCAGTCCACGTCAACCTAGCTGAGCCGGCCACCAAGAACCTGCCAGGGGTGGAGAACAAAGGAGGCGGCTGCTGAATGGTGCCCAGCCCGACCCCCCTCCATCCCCCAGACCCACCTGCTCATCTGTTTCCTCCGCCTGTCCCTACAAAAGCAAAGGCGGAGGGCTCTCTCAACTTCCAATTAGTTTTTCAAATGAAATAATGACCGCTGGGACCCGCTGCTACTTGTGGGTTTCGAGGTGAATGCCGTTATAAAGGAAAAGACTGTGATGGCCACAATTCCGGTGCTTTATCTCCATTAACTACAACACTAACGGCGGCTTAAAGGACTTAACCCCTGCCCACAGAGAGGCTGGGAGCTTCCTGTTCCCTTGACAGTTCCATTTAAGATGAAGTGCTATTTTTATTATTATTATTTTTTTCTTTTTGTCCTACAGAATGCTCTGATCAACGGAGGATTTGTTTCTTATGATAATCCCTTATGTTTGCATCAAAACTCACAAAGAAGTTCTCATCCATTGCTTCACGGGCTCCCTACCACAGCCCTAGGGGGAGGGCAGAGCAGAGGTAAGAGGTCAGGTCCAACAGCTCGGAGGGGTCAAAGCTGGGAACTGACTCCTGATTCCAGGACAGTGCCCTTGTGTTGTTCCAAGATGCCAGGTCCCTCAGGAAATGCCGGGGAAGCGAGTGACTTCAACCAACCAACAAAGAAACGAAAGAAATGTAGGACCTAGTACAAACTGCTTACTGGGCCCCTGCTAACAACACACAGGAAATAACAACGGTAATGTCTATACTAATCTGAGCAACCTCTGAGTCACTGTCAGTGCCAGACGCTCTGGTGTGTGTTTTGAATGTGACCTCATTTAATCCTTATAAAGCCCTCAGAGGTGTTATCCCATTTTTACTGATGGGAAACTAAGGTCCAGTGGGGTGAAGAAAGAAAGGTCAGTTGGATACTGACCTGCTGTGCTGACTACTCTTGGAAGGCCAGGTCCAGGCACTGCTGTGATGTCAACTGAAAGACAGAGCTCACGGCAGTTAAAGTGGTAAAAACCGATTTTATTCAAGACTATTGTAATCAGGGGAAAGAAACCTCATACAGAACTGAGCTCAAGTCTGAATACAGTACGGTCCACTGGCAGCTGGTAGCCAAAGAGCAGGGCAGGGCCCAGTGAGTGGAAACTTACTAAGAGGATACATCAGGGGTAAGGGGATTCTGGCTGAAG